TGATGGATTCTAGATTGATTGCTTACGAAATCCTACTAAATAACTTAGATGTAAGCGATCAAGCTCTTATTATGCCAAATGTGAGCATGTGCAGTGAGTAAGGGAATTACTAGTTTTCTTCAGCGTATGCGTAGATAGAAACTCCATCCTGTAAATACCAACGTTCTCTTACATTCAATACTTTTACTTGTTTTTTTTTCTTTATCACCGACCAGGGATTCCAGAAATGCCAATAGACTAAGGGGTTTAATTTAGAGACGGAAGTTTCTGCTTTTCACATCATATCAAAACCCAACTTCTCGAAAAAGTGTCTAACATGAAATAAAACCACAAACATAACGGGAAGAACAAAGTGACTGGACATGAAAAGTTTTAGTCTCAATACGAACAACAGCTTAATTAGAACTACCAACTTGTATCGCAGCCTAATTCGTTGGTGAAATATTAAAGGCTACCATGGGTGTATTGAAGAAACATCACCTATTAAAACAATCGACCTAACATCCCGTAACCCAATATCCAGGCCTCAATAACTCATTTTGTTTACATGAACATTTGCACTCTGACGAAAATACTGTGTGCACAGTTTATAGAGTGCATTGTTTCTTTTTGCAAATTCTCCACTATTGAGCACTCCTGTTTTCCAGGTTGTCTTATGCATTCTGCATACTAAAATGACGTGAAAATATTTGGTAATTTAATTAATTTTCGTGTAGGATTGGATCCTTTAAATGGAGAGTTTAGGGGCCTATACAATTTACTTCAATTAAACTGGTTGAGAGATTTATAAGTGCATGACGGGTGCCACCAACATACGCCAATATTTGTCTACAGGCTCCTTGCCGATTCAAAAAGTGTAGAAGTGATTAAAGAAATATTATTCAATAGTATTCACATTGTCAACTCTCCGTCGAAGACGAAAAGCTGTGCAAAACAGAGGATCAGTTAGCATCCTATCTAAGCTACTAAAATGCAAACAACTCCGAAGATTTACGTAAAGAGTAAAACAGGAAGGTGAATAGTAGAACTAGAAACCTGCAGCCAAAATTTTCAAGGATGAAGCGGTCACAGTAGTGCTGCCGTTAGTTTTCTTTAGTCATACGAAAACCTTACAACACTAACTACTCAAACACAATAAGTATATAGAATATTCTAAATCAAAACTTACTTCAGGTGTGGTGGCATTCGCGGTGTCGGGAGTTTCTTCAGTAGTAGCTTCGCCCTTGCCACCACCGCCAAAGAAGCTGCTTATCCCATCAGCGAGTTCTATAAAATGTGTAAGGAATTCGGTGGAATTAAGAAAGCGAATAAGCACAACAGGCTGAGGATGTTCCGCAGAGACTATGGTGTAAGAGAAGACTTACTTTGCAAAGCAGAGCCGCCCTTGGAAGCCGTTGTCGTGTCGTTTATTAGATCAAGCAGGAGGTTGACCTCAGTGAGACGCAGCACACAGCTGAAATCGAGGGAGAAATGCGCTTTGACTCCACGTGTAGAGTAGTTTCGGAATTTGCTTGCTGTCTCCGCCACCTCGGAGATGGTCACGTTCATCAGGTTCTGCGAGCCTTCAACGTAGCTGTCGGGAGAACCACACGCACATACATACATATGCATTTGTAATACTTAAGCGTATTAGAGCTTTAAAAAAGTACACTGGTTAAGTTACAGGTTCCACACTTTTCAGTATGGACAATCAGGACTAGGAACCCACGGTTGCAGGATTAAGACAAAATGTATTTGGTACAACTGCGAAAGTCCCTTTTGGGAAACTACGTCCTTCTTGCTTTTCCTACGTCCCTTATTATTTTTTTAATCCCCCATCTTGTTCCCATGTACACTGACTGTATTTCTGGCAGATAAAAAATATCTCAACATTAAAAGGTAACCTAAACGATCTGTTCACATAACCGGGCGCCTGAAAAAGTACCTTTGAAGACCAGACGGAATGTCACCATAGTAGACAGTGAAGGACATGTCCTTTGCTAGCCGATTGAAGGTAATGCTGCGCCTCTGTGGACAAGGATTCGCAATTTGGAAGAGGGTACGAGTAATGAAGGGGTCCTCGGTCAATACATCGGTTTCATCCTCCTTTGGAATTCTTGGGAATGTGACCTTTTAAAGACAAGAAATATGCCAAGGTAGGAATCCAGCAATAGGTTTGTCAGTATAGAAATCCGGACTGAAACAATCCTGTCGTGAAGAGGAGAAGGAGGCAACTTACCAGTACTGGGAAACGGTTAATGTCCTTGGCTACGAAGCGTTTGACCTTGAAGCCGGGGGTGTGATAGGCAGCCTGGTAGACGGCGCCCATGGCGGCTGCCTCATCGGAGTTTATACTCTTGCCAAGTTCACTTCTACGCGTGGAAAAATCAGAACGAAAAATAAACAAAGGTGATTATCTGAGTTGGTCATTGTACAACCACATGCTTATTCACAGTTACCTTAAAGTAAATGAGGTGCGGAAACCACGATAGTTCTACCGTTTTCGACGATGTTCATAGGGGGAGGGGCGGCGCGGAGGGGTCACTGGCACGTGAATTAGTTGCCAGTGATAGCAGACTTGCGCGGCGTTTACCGCACTCAATCTCCTTCCTCACCAACTTGGGTCTTATGTCAAGAAAGGGTCCAGAAAACCCAAGGCGAGATTGGACGCAGGCAGTTAGCACGGTGTTAGCCTGCACCTGGGCGTGCTACTTAAATCTGCATGTGTGATTTTTCCTTCGGATACGCATCCAATAACGCCTGCCGTACTCTGCTTTAAGACTTCTGCAGGTCCCAGGGCAGCCAATATGTGCTGAACACAACGGAACTGAGAGGGCGAGATCAACATTGATTGAGGAGTGCAACGAGTT